GCCGCAATCCCTTCTCCTCCATTCTCCTCTCGGGATCTTGGGCACGTACGCACACGCGCCCGGCGTGAGTTTTAAGCCACCGGGTCCGGGACGCGAACCGCTGTCGACTACGTGGGAGTCCAGCGACATAGCCATTACGCTAACTGCTGGTTCCCTTATTGTGTTTTGTAATAACATTTAGATCTCTCCCGGATAGCACATAGCTTGGGCTCAGCCACTGTCAACTCACCCAGTATTTTGACACTCTTTTGTGATAGTCCACACAAATGCAACTTCAGGACTTTCAGACTTGAGGTTCTTTGTAATCCCTGAGCGATGCTGTTTAGACTGTCACCGATGTTTCTATTCATGGAAAGATCAAGTACTTCAAGGCTTTGGAGTGCAGGTAGCAACTGACCTGGAAGGAAGGGAACCCTGAAAGAAGAGCCACGGTGAAGAGGCACGTGTGGGGGTCGGGGCAGCAGAAGGAGGGCAGCAGCTCCCCGGAATCCCAGGCGAGACAGAGGAGCAGGCTTAGATTCCAGCCCTCCACTCATCTTCGCTTCTTTCCCTCCGGAAGGGGGAGGGCTGCCCAACCCCACTTACCCACAAACACCCCGTCGTCAGGTGTGAGGGCGCACTCCACCAGCTCCAGTGTCCGTATCTTGCTCCTGTCTTGGACCTTGTGGAAAACCACAGGCAAATTTCCTCCCACTTCACTGTTCCAAGACAAATTCAGCTCTTCGAGGTCAGGGATGGCGTCAAGTGCTTCTCCTGTTACAGAATAGCCCAGAGATCAGGCTGACCACGCATCCACACAACAGGGGACCAGTTTCCGAATCAGCGCAGCAGTCATTATTTTTATTTGCAGAGTAGGTAGCTGAGCCAGGAACCATGGCAGGTGTCCAGAAAGAGAAAAGGACCCAGGTCCTGCCCACTCCCAGCAGGGAGAGCTGCTGTCTTTACGGGCACAGCGATTCTAGTTCTGCCACAATTCTGAAGCCATGAACAAACTCTTGGAGTTGCAAAAAGGAAAAAAACAAACAAACAAACAAAAAACCCCACCTGTGGTAGAGTGGCTTTACTGAGCTGTTTGCATGGTAGTAAATATTTGTACCAAGTCCCTCTGCCTTCATCCTCCACCCACTCTGGGACCAGCACTTCTGAGAAGCTTGACCAGACGCAGAAATGAGGCTGGCAGGGCACGGGCCACCATGAGGGCCAGCTCCCTTGGAGGTTAAGAGGATCAGTGGCAACTGAACTGGTCAGTACACAGAGGAGCCACCAACAGAACATCTGGCACGGGCAGCTCAGAACGGCCATAAGCTTTGGGGTCCGG